GCCCCATGAGCAACTGCCCAGTTAAGACCGTGAGAGTGGCTAACATACCGCCAGTACCATCAGCGCGAAAGCACGCAAGGCCCATGATCTAACGTCAGCGATGCTGCAATGCCAACATCATTATCAGTCTGAGCTGCCGCAATACCGGCACATGAGTACCGTGACCATTCAGGTCAGAAGTATTCTCGTCGTTATCCACGAAGTTGTAGCCGTGGGAGCCATCAGACGCTGTCCACATCTGGTCCTTGAGGTCAGGATGCGAACTATCCACGCCGGTATCAACGATCGCGAGGATGATCTCTTGAGGAGTCTTGCCAGAATTGTCAACGTTCCTCCAGGCACCATCGATGTTTATCAGCTGCAGATTGTCCTGATATCGAGCCAACGGGTCGTCCGAATCCACATCGGACTTGGGACTGTTGCCGAACCAACCTGCCACTTGTTCAGTTGTATCGGCAATTCTTGCCTCATTTACACCATCAACGATCCTCATCTCAATATTGGGTTCGCATAAGACGTCCAAACCAAGCTCGTCACCAGCTTCCTCGAGGTAGGCCTTCACTTCATCTAAGCTGACCGGACAGTCCTCGGACAGAGTGTCGACACTCTGAACACCAATCATAGCCAATGTGTCAACGGCGTGTGGGTTCTGCAGGCAGCGTTCAACAGCAGCCAATCGGCTGTCACTGAGCCGACGCAAATTGCTCACATTGTTAGCAAGCATGTGAGGGATTGCACTGACGTCAACAGCATCATGCACAATCGATTCTCTGGTTGACGATATTGAGACTACACCACTGGGAGGAGATCGGCGAGTGACCGAGACGAGTGTCTTATTGTCTTTGACGTTAACTGCCTTTCCAAGACCAAAGAGGAATAAGGGGAAGAGTAACAGAAACATGTTAATGGAACTAACTGAAGCAACAGGTCATGCTAGTCTCCACATTAGATGAAAACACGACGGGACAGCGCTACACCTTTTAAAGGCCTATTTCGCTCTCAGTGAAAACAAATCCGTCGGGCGGGGCACCTATGCCATAACCCCAAGAAACGTCTAATTACAACGAGTTCTATCGGACGGGACACCTATGCCACAACCTCAAGATGCGCATCAGTTCAATCAATTTCATCCCGCGGGACACCTATGCCACAGCTCCAACTACAAGCGATTCCATCAGCCGGAGCGCCTATGCTGTAATTCCAAGATATGCCTTAGTACGATCCATTTGGTGGGAGCAAGTGATAGAAAGATTAATTGTGTTTGCACGACCCAACTAACTTCAACTTCCACCAATCGTGGATGTCAGTTTCGCTGCAAAACCGATTTCGCCGACCCCGCCTGAAAACAGTGAATCCTGAAAAGGGTGAAGGGTGAGTGAATCCGTTGTAGGGACTTTTTCTCCCACTAAAGCGGGTGAAAGCCTGACAATAGTGAACAACAAACTCGCCCGCACCGGTATCCTAAATATCAGTAATTTTTCTACCACTCCTTCCCGAACCGATTCAACTTTCAATGATCACACTCTGTCCGGTTGTTTCATATTTGAGTAGTCAACTTGCTCACGGCCACCGCAGCGCTATGGATCACTGAGGACTGGTGCACATATTATATAGATTGTCATCTTTTTCACGCCTAGTTCTTCGTTGCGTGTCTTGAAGCGACTTTTCAAAAGTAGGAGCAACACGAACGGTCTAGTAATAGCTTTTGAGTCACCCTATGCCATGGTTGTGGACAGGAAGTACTGAATGGTGCTCTCTCTTCGGGCTTCGGGATTCGGAAATCCGTGTCGTCTCCAGTCCACTTTTGATCAAATATTTTGTCTTCTGCTCCACTGTTTCATTACGAGGGAGTGAGTTTTCAATCCGTTACCAACTAGCTGAAATACGCGGTTGCCATAAGCAAAGCGTTTGAGTCCATAATAGAGACTATAGAAGAAGTATGGGAACCTTGTTGATGAACAATTCTGGCAGTGCCACAAGGATAAACAGCAATGCATGAGGCAACAGGTCCTAATGCCTGTTCCTCTTGAACATGAACAAATACTTCTATACTTGTGAGAGTATCGTATATCATGAACTTCTATATTGAGCTCCTGGATAGCATTGTATTACGACTCGTGGACCCGGAGTAACTGCTGAGGAGGCGTTCCAGCTGGGTTAGGCAAGCTTACTGGCCCGAGCTGGTCAATACCTCAACCGCCGCGGTTGAACCGCGTCTCAATTACAAAATTACCATGATGATCACAGGATTTGAACCTTGGACAATCGGATACGAGCTCTAACGCCTAACCGCTAGACCAACCAGTCGATTGTAACGCATATGACGTAAGGGGATCTGGGCTGGAATTTGGTTGGCACGCGCTCGTGGCGCGCGCTAGTTCCTTCACTGTTATCAGGGTTCGCGGGGAATTTATTCCGGTTCACCATTTCCAGGATTCACTGTTTTCGCGGACAACCATTTCGCCTGAAGTGGACGGTTTCGGACGCAATGGTGGAGCATCCAATCATGACGTTAGTGGCACTCGTGAAATAATGGGCCTGTTACACAAGGATACTTAATTCAAGGCGCCTTAAATTTAGGGGAAACTCAAGGAGTTACTTAAGGTATACTTAAGGCGTTACTTACGTTTAAGGCGCAATTTGCTCCTACGAAACAGGCCCAATGGCGTGAAGTGCGTGATGGGGACAGAAGAAATACCGTCACTGGGGATCGAATTTGCGACCTGCGGATGAAGCATTACTCTCAACTTTCTCCTTCTGCGTACTGGGTACAGCGTTCGATTCATATGAATGTGCTATAATATAGCTTCACCCGGACACCATGGACACTCTATCCACTGCACAGCCTGAGAATATCCCTCCAAACTATGAAGATCTCCCTCTATTCACACCTCACTCTGCCAAGGCTTCTTGGCTCGCCTACGGCGACTGTGTCCTTTTCATGCTAATAGTAGCCGTTATCGCGGGGCAGTTGATACAACAGAAACGAGCCGAAAGACGTGGAGGAGATGCTGTAATAATGGAGTCGACATGTGGCCACCTCGAATATCTTGGAATCGTACCCTTTGTCTCAGGCCCCGGCAGTGTCGCTCACTGGTAGCCACACGCGCAAGCTCTTCCTTATCGGTTTATGCCTATCAAATCTAGCCAGAGCAGTGAGCATGATCGTCGATGCTGTCGTTCATAATGAGGTTAGAGAGCATGTATGGGAGCATTCTGTCCAGGTTGGGCCCTATCGTAAGCAATACTGTCATCAAACATCATTCATATCAGGGCTGGACCAACTACTGCTTCATGGTCTTCCCTTCTCTGCTCTTCCTCTCAACCTACAGCATCGTTATACTATTCTGGGCTCAAGTAACATCAGTAACCGCAGCTCCTATTATTGTCTTCCCAGGTGTACTATGCAGCCATCTTAGTATCATATCCCTTGTTACGGCCACTCTGCATTTTTTTCAACATTGCAGTGTACTATTCATCGCCTCCAAAGGCTCAATCACTCTTCCTTTCCCCTGCAGATATGGTGTTTTTGTGATTATATCGGCAGTCACTTTCCTTCTCGAAGCGTGGCATCAATATAGTCAGTAAGTTCTAGTAAGTCTAAAAAATCGCCGATTACACTCGTTCACTGGTAGGTACATATTTTTTATAGTGGGTCTGCTTTACCTTCTCTGCGCTATATTATTCTTCTATTACGGGGTGAAAGTCAAGTCCTTGTGTCTTCCATAGAGCCAATCCCTCTCAGATACAGGTAGCGGTGCAGTTGAAAGACCGATCTCGAAGACAGCGCTCAATGGCCGGAGTGTCGCCGACTGAGGCCAGCAATAATCATGCGGTTCTCAGTCGAGTAATAAGCTCTCAATGTTCATCACAACACAGACTCTATCAGGTTCTTATTCTGACAGTGACGTGCCCGCTCATATTTCTCATAAGAGGTATGTTATGTCTACTCTACGGAGTCGGGGTCATGAAGACGTACGGTCCTTCGAACGTTGATCGCCTGGCTTGGGACTCTCTGGTGAGAACTTCTAGTTATCTTTATTCCCTACTGGCGCTTCTAGGTCTACTGTATCACGGAATGGATACCTTCGCTGCTCATTCTTATAGTCTTCTGGCCTGCCACTCGACCTTCTGGTCGAGCTGGAGTCCATGGTGGTGGCTATCAAGTAAGCTAGCTCAGTGTGGCCTTGAGTGTAGGGCAATGATGTCCGTCAACTCAGTCGGATTATGGTAACCTATCCTCGAGCTATGATTCTCTAGTGTCGCCTCTTATCGGATCACACACGGGGTCGAACCAGGATATAGAGGCCAACAGGAAGCAGATTAGGATAGAGCAGGAACAAACGAGGTGTAGTTGGAGAGGGATTCTAGAATGGACGGGAGTACTAGCACTTCTTTGATGATGAAGTCATAGAATGCCTCTCGCTCTAAGGAAATTAGCCAGAGTACAATCATACTGATATGTGCCGAATCAACGCTCTGATTTGGTTTTTCACTGTATCCCTATTCAATCGTCTATTGGACCTGCCACTTGATCGCGTGTGCCTTTGTATTCAATCGCCTATGCCACGACGTCACTGGTGTCTTCTCTGGAATGGCCCATGCTGTAGATAATAATGCCTTGATCAAAGTCGTACCTAAATTACCTCATGCCAATCCCGTGGGCCCTAACAAACCTGCCATCGATTTACCACCTGGAGGCTCAGAGCAGGTAACACTGCAGTCACATGCAATCTGTTAGGTCACATCTCATATCAGGCTAACATTTCGAATGGCCGGAAAGGACGGTCTTGGAGTCATCAGTTACGCGATGTCTGGACAGGTGATAAGGAACAACCTGGGGCTTGGAAAGGGAAGAAATAACATTTCTGTGGTCAGTTGTTGTGATTGTGTTGTATGGGGATAAACAATTGATCGGCGACGAACTTGTTGCCGTAGTCGTAGCTTACGTGCAAGGGTGCTCCCATACTCGAACCTATTTCATCTCCCCACCCACCTGTTGTTTTCGTTGATATTATGCTTAGTATCGTGCATATATTAACATCGACAGCTTTCAATTAGACCAATGCTCAGGGAGAGATGTGCCCCGTGGGAGCTCACCATCAATAATAATCGCAGGATTAAATCAATAATCCTGCGAAATTGATGTTACTGAGGCATGTCTTGGGATGGCATAGTGGCCCCATCCAATGGAATTGATCCTACTAGAACATATCTTGGGATAGAATAGTTTCCCCATCCAGTCGAATTGATCGTTCTGGGGCCCACGTTGGGATGGCATTGTTGCACCGTCCAGCGAGATTGATTGGATTAAGGCACATATTTGGGATGGCATAGTTGCCCTATCCAGCGGAATGGTCTTATTAAGGTTTAATTTGAGGTGGCATAGTTGCCCCATCGAGCGGAATCGATCGTACCATGGCGTATCACGGGATGGCATAGTTGCCCCGGCCGGGGAAATCGATCTCAGTAAGGGCGAAATAGGCCCACTTCATCATGACTTCCCTATCACGTACAACGCGGCGAACATTCCGTTCCTTTGGTCGATGGACGATGATGCTACGGCAGCGCCTTGGTACGGCTGAGAATATGGATAAGGTCAAGGCGGTTGGGAGACGGACATGTAATAACATGTACATGTATTGCGCATGATATGGTCCTCAGTTTACTCGTTTGTTATTATGGGCGGATCGGATGTATGTGCTCAGTGGCTGACTACTGGGAGGATAGAGGAGCCTGACTGGGATAGAGCATTCATATTTGCGGCAGCAGGCAGCGTTTGCATGGTGACCGATTTGGTTCAACCGAAGCACTCTTCACATGGGCAAATTGCATACATTAGTTACCACTGAACAGTCTGTGGGCATTTGTACTGGAACCTCGACTCCCGGGTCGGAAATGGTGGCTGACGAAGCTTGCTACCGAGATGATCACACTGACTCCATTGTAGACTGCTGAACACAAGAGCAAAATACTCTCTATGTAGATACTTCGCATCTCTCATTGGCTTCAACGCATGGGGACGATATCCCAACGCTGACTATACGCTGGTCCGGATAATGGAGGATTGGCCTCTTCTGTACGATGTTCTGGGGCCTGCCACTGAATGCATCGTTTCTTGATACGTCCTCATTCTTCGTCGATCATGTAGATGGCCGCACCTTGAAAAACTCGAGTGAGGAATACTGTATCATGCAAATGTTATCAGGGTCATTTCGGTGTTAATGACGATTATCAGTACAGAGTGTCCAAACTCGTCTGTACTGTCGTTGCGAACTCGCTAGACTTCCAGCGAGGTCCATCTGGTGGTATCTTGATCTGACAAGGCAGTCTCATTCAAATTCCTCGGAACCCATTTCAAACTTGATGAGCTCGGGCGCTAGCCCCCAATTTTATCACCTCGTTGGTGCTGATTCATCATGAGGCGACTCTAGAGAAGAAATGAATAGAGCCGTGATGATTTCAGATGACACGAGTAGCCTTTGAATTAGAAGAGTAGCCTGCCCTCATCCCTGCTAGGTTGTTATTTATCTGATAGATACCGTGATTCGCTTATCGTGATACCACTCTGCCAGACGTTCAACTATTTGATAATAGCACCTCACATGCGCAATTTCTTCCATGGATGTTGTTCGTTTTTATGGAATATTTATGTATCATGGTATGTAAGCTTGCCGCATGACCAGAGAGAAGCGAACATCATCGCAGAGAGAAAGGGTAGGCTTGAGCTCGGAGGCAGTGGTGTGAATGCGGTGGATTTGATCAGCTCGTAAGCGCGGCGACGATAGTCCATATCATATCTACAACCTCCCGCCGGAACCTCGTCGGCTCGTAACGGATGGTCGTCGAACGGAGATCAGTCATAGAGAGTCTCTCAGCTGGAATGCTAAGTGGTGACGACTGAAACATGATCTAGGCTGTGACAAGTTTCTGGAAGTTTCCGGATTACTTCGGGTTAAAAGTGAATCTGATAACTCTCGCTCCTATCTTAGAACGAACCCGTGATTACGTATTGTACCCTTCACAGTCTGCGACGCCTCGTTTACTCGGGGCTAGCAAACAGAGTTCCAGTGAACGGACGATAAGTCCTGATGGTGCTGTGAGACCACAGGTCGACACGCTAATTGTGGACGGAGCATCGTTCACATTGAAGATAATTCTGATTGAGGGGCTATACTCTCCCAGCGGTAGCAGCAATGAACTGTGCCATTATATTCGGGGAATGACGAATGTCGAGTGGGAGTCCTCGGCAGAATATCCCCCGCACGATGCGATTAGATCTGTCTTCAGCGGGGGTTGAAATCCCCACGAAGGATTCAGACAGGTCTCTGTCGAGCGACTCATCTGGGATAACAGGCGAAGTCTCTTGGTTCTCCGTGCAGTTGGAGAACCAGACAGCCACACTGAGGGCGAGAATCAGTGGCTGCTCCTCCGCGAGCATCCATGGGTAGGGACATGATATCACATCAGACTCAATATCTCTTGGATCGCACTGCAGTCTCGCGTAGTTACGTCAATGTGTTGGGCTCGTAAGAGGAATTTCACTTCGTTGAAGATCTTCATTCTAAGTTCCATGAAAATATGGAACTATGGAAATATTCCCATTGTTCGTTGTATCACGAGTCGTGATTCACGACATGCAAAATAGTTGTGATAATCTTGCGTGATCCAAGGAAGCTGCTGTTCAGTAGGTGTGTGTGAATATGATATCAAACCAGACTCAATATCTCTTGGATCACACTATAGTGTCATGGAGTGCGTGTGAATTTGATATCACACCAGACTCAATAGCTCTCGGATCACACTATAGTGTCATGTAGTTAGTAACTACTAGTTACAGCAATATGTTGAGTTCGTGAGAGGAATTTTCCTTCGTTGAAAATTCTTATTGGAACTCGGAAACCCTTTTCATTGCTCATTATATTACGACATATGAAATGTTCGTGATACTCCTGCGCGATGCTAGAGATCTGCTGCTCAGTAGATATGCATGTGAATATGATACCACACCAGACTCAATATCTCTTGGATCACACTATAGTGTCGTGTAGCTACAGTAACTTGCTGAGTTCGTAAGAAGAATTTTCCTTCGTTGAAAATTCTGATTGGAACTCGGAACCCCTTTTCATTTCTCATTATGTTACGACATATGAAATGTTCGTGATACTCCTGCGCGATGCTAGAGATCTGCTGCTCAGTAGATATGCATGTGAATATGATACCACACCAGACTCAATATCTCTTGGATCACACTATAGTGTCGTGTAGCTGCAGAGATGTGTTGAGTTCGTAAGAAGAATTTTCTTTCGTTGAAAATTCTGATTGGAACTCGGAAACCCTTTTCATTGCTCATTATATTACGACATATGAAATGTTCGTGATACTCCTGCGCGATGCTAGAGATCTGCTGCTCAGTAGATATGCATGTGAATATGATACCACACCAGACTCAATATCTCTTGGATCACACTATAGTGTCGTGTAGCTGCAGAGATGTGTTGAGTTCGTAAGAAAAATTTTCCTTCGTTGAAAGTTCTGATTGGAACTCGGAAACCCTTTTCATTGCTCATTATATAACGACATATGAAATGTTCGTGATACTCCTGCGCGATGCTAGAGATCTGCTGCTCAGTAGATATGCATGTGAATATGATACCACACCAGACTCAATATCTCTTGGATCACACTATAGTGTCGTGTAGCTGCAGAGATGTGTTGAGTTCGTAAGAAAAATTTTTCTTCGTTGAAAATTCTGATTGGAACTCGGAAACCCTTTTCATTGCTCATTATATAACGACATATGAAATGTTCGTGATACTCCTGCGCGATGCTAGAGATCTGCTGCTCAGTAGATATGCATGTGAATATGATACCACACCAGACTCAATATCTCTTGGATCTCACTATAGTGTCGTGTAGCTGCAGAGATGTGTTGAGTTCGTAAGAAGAATTTTCTTTCGTTGAAAATTCTGATTGGAACTCGGAAACCCTTTTCATTGCTCATTATATTACGACATATGAAATGTTCGTGATACTCCTGCGCGATGCTAGAGATCTGCTGCTCAGTAGATATGCATGTGAATATGATACCACACCAGACTCAATATCTCTTGGATCACACTATAGTGTCGTGTAGCTGCAGAGATGTGTTGAGTTCGTAAGAAGAATTTTCCTTCGTTGAAAATTCTGATTGGAACTCGGAAACCCTTTTCATTGCTCATTATATAACGACATATGAAATGTTCGTGATACTCCTGCGCGATGCTAGAGATCTGCTGCTCAGTAGATATGCATGTGAATATGATACCACACCAGACTCAATATCTCTTGGATCACACTATAGTGTCGTGTAGCTGCAGAGATATGTTGAGTTCGTAAGAAGAATTTTCCTTCGTTGAAAATTCTGATTGGAACTCGGAAACCCTTTTCATTGCTCATTATGTTACGACATATGAAATGTTCGTGATACTCCTGCGCGATGCTAGAGATCTGCTGCTCAGTAGATATGCATGTGAATATGATACCACACCAGACTCAATATCTCTTGGATCACACTATAGTGTCGTGTAGCTGCAG